AGTCAAGTGCCTTAGGCACTATGCTACCAGAGCCAGGCTACCTGGGTTCAAATCCTGGCTCTGCCACTTTACTAACTCTGTGATCTTGAACAAGTTAATTTATGTTGTCTCATAGTTTCTTCATTTGTAAAATAGTGCATCATTACCAGTGCTTCCTTGAAAGGCTGGATGGAGTATGAAGCAAGTTGGGTAGGAAAGGTGCCTGGAATGTAAGTGCTTTCTGGCTTGCAATGCCTGGCACATACTGTGTATTTCTTTAACTCTAAGATACCCTCAGTGGTAAAACCACTGGGAAAAAAAAAAATATATATATATATATATAGCAATTAAAGTTGTTGCATACATTTGATTTTAGAATGTTAAAATATGAAAAAGGTGCATCTTAGAAATGGTGTATAGGTATGTTAATGAGTGTCTATTAGATGAGTGCATGACTACAGAAAGAGGAGAGGGCAGAGTCAAGAACTTACCAATTGAAAAGCCTAGGAAGGTGGAAACCCAACCCAGAGCCCCAAAGTAAGTTACTTACTACCAGAGCCAGGGAAGAATTCAAGCATTTCCATCCATCAGGCCATGATGTAAGAGATAGAGAAGGGCCCCGTACTTTATTTCCTCTGCTAGCAGAAGGCAAGTGACATGTTGGGACAGGACCAGGGCAAGTGGCCTTCCTTCCAGGGCAGATAGTATCAGCTTCCTCTCTGCATGAATTCATTAATTCATTCTTTCATCCTATAGTCTTTGCAGAGCATCTTCTCTGTCCCAGCCTGCACTAAGATACAGAGATGTATCAAATGTGTGGTCTCTAATCTTGTGGTCCTCATAGTGATGGGGCGATAGATTTGGGCACAGGCAATGGATAGAAGAGGATTGCACAGAAGGATATCAGAAGACGTTGCATGTGGGAAGGTGCCAATGGGGCCTCAATGGGACAGTCATGGCTGGATCAGTGCATGCATTCACATAGATGTCTTGACACAGGCCCTCACTTTCACCAGGAAATTGCTCTGTATACACACAAAACCCAAACTCACTGCCATTGAGTCAATTTTGACCATAGTGACCCTATAGGACAGAGTATAACTGTCCTATAGGGCTTCCAAGTCTGTAATCTTTAAGACAATCACTACAGACAATAGTAACAATCTATTGTGACTATCTTCCCTCATCAAGACAGGAAGCCTGTTGCATACCTCCACTGCACAGAAATCCATTGTGTGAATGTTACATAATTTGTCTAAACGGGACCATTGATGAATGTTTGAGTGGATGCCAAGTTCTTTACATCCCGCCCCCCCCCCCAAATGTGTCAATTAATAACCTTGTTTAGATGTCATTTTGAACAAGTGTGAGAAATTTTGTAGGTTAAATTCTTCAGAAGTGGAGTTACTGGGTTAAACATCTAGTTGAACTTTTTAAAAATACTGATGGCTGTTACTAAATTGCCTTTATGGAGGTTGTACAAAATTCCCCTCCCACTAGCAGAGATGAGAAGTTGTAAGCAAGTACTTGGATGCATTGAGTAAGATACATTTTTTTTTTTTTAAATTAGGATTTGGGTGAAGATTTACAGAGTAAATTCACTTTTCATACAGCTGTTCACATATACTTTGTCTCATGTCATTGACCAAAATTTACAATGCAGCAGCTCCCCTCCCACTTCCTCCCCATAATTACCTCCTCCCAGTGTCTATCCCTTCATACTCTTCTGCACCCTGAGCTATCTCCCTGTGCATAAGCAGCCCTTCCTTCTCCCATGATTGTTCTCTCCAGGGCGTGTGTCTACTTGAGGTAAATGTTTAACTCACATGCCTGTACTTTGGCTGGAAACCACAGTTGTGGGTTCAATTCCAGACCTGAAGGTAAGATACATTTTTAAAGAAACAACATCAAGTGGGTGCCTGAGGAAATTCTTCTTGCATGAGAATAACCAGAAATTTCTTTGCTCTATCTCTATTTTCACATCCAGTAATACCCCACTGCTTGAGGAAAAAAAAGGCTTATTCTCATCTGAGTCCCTCAGAGTGTGGTCCCTGTAACCCTCCTCCAGAGTCAGTGGAGAATCTGGAGGGTGTATTGGTGGGGGTGGGGGTGGGGATGCTTCAGAGGCCAAGTCCAGGTCAAAGACGAGAGAACGTGGGACTGTTCAGCCTGGATGGAGCAGAGCAGCTCAGCCCCGCCCGCCCCCCCACCCTGCCATCTCCAGGTCCCTCCAGGCTGCTCTGAGGGGCCAGGCTCTGTGGCCCCAGAGGCAGCAACATGAATCCTCAGGGATTCACCGGCTGAAAGTTCCAGCTTGACGACAGGATGAACTTTCACCCTGGCAAAGCTGCGCCAGAGTGTAAAGGGCTGCCCTGTCTCTGGAAAGTGTAAATCGGGGGCCTGGGCAGCCCTATCAGCCCTAGGGGCTGAGGGTTAAGCCAAGAGCTCTGGGGACCCTTTCAGCTCTGATGGCTGCAGCTCACAGAATGCAAGGTACTGAAAGGGGGGGGTTACTGGCAGATGGGGAAGGAGTGCATCTCTAAGAAATCACCACCCATGTTAATAATCTTTGCAGCCTGTCCCATAGCTTGCCGGGAGCAGCCTTGTTCAAAAGGCACATGTCAGCTCAGGGGTCACTTCTCCCACTTCAACTAGAAGTTGCTAATAACAAACAGGCAGCCCCCCACCCCACTTAATGCATAAACCCCTGTAGAAGGGACTGGACCAAGGAAACAAAGGGTAGTGTGGGTGGGAGCAGAGAGCCACAGGGCTTGTGTTGTATAGAAGAAACAGGACTAGAGCCAGCCTCCTGGTTCTCATGATCTATCAACCTAACCAGAATCCGCTCCTGCTATATCCTGTGAATGCTCACAACCAGGTCTTAAGTATCAATTTTTCTTAAACTGTACAGGTAGTTCCTTACTTATGGTGGGGCTCTGTTCTGACTACTCTGCCATGTTGTTGTTGTTGTTAGGTGCCATTGAGTTGGCTCCAACTCATAGCAACCCTGTCTACAACAGAACAAAACTGCCTGGTCCTGTGCCAGCCTCACAATCCTTGTTATACCAGAGCCCCTTGTTGCAGCCACAGTGTCAATCCATCTCATTGAGGGCCCTCCCCTTTTTTGTTGATCCTCCATTTTAAAAGTGTGATATCCTTCTCCAGGGAATTGTCCCTTTTTACAAGATGACCAAAGTAGGTGAGACAAAGTCTGGCCATTCTTGGTTCCAAGGAGCATTCTGGCTGCACTTCCTCCAGGACAGATGTTAGTTCTTCTGGCAGGCCTTGGTACTTTCCATATTCTTTGCCAACAATTCAACAATTCAAAGGAATTAATTCTTATCCAGTCTTCCTTATTCGTTGTCTAGCTTTCACATGCATATGCGGTGATTGAAAATACCATGGCTTGGGTTAGGCTCACCTTAGTCTTCAAAGAGACATCTTTGCTCTTCAGCACTTTAAAGAGGTCTTTTGCAGCAGATTTGCCCAGCTCAATGTGTTGTCTGATTTCTTGACTGCTGATTCCATTGGTGTTGATTGTGGAACCAAGTAATATGAAATTCTTGACAACTTCAATCCTTTCTCCATTTATCATGATGTTGCTCATTGGTCCAGTTGTGAGGATTTCCATAAATCAGTTAAGCCTACTTTTTTTTTTTTTAGTTTTCGTTATTATTGCCTCTTATTATCAGTGTCTTTATAAATTTAATCTTTGTCTTTGGGGGTTGACATGCGAATAACATCAGCAAATTATGCACTACTGCATTGTATGTATTACTAAGATAAGATGTATACAAAACTAACTAAATAAAAGAATGGTCGTAAGTGTGGTTTGCTCTAACTGGAATATGTCCTAAGTAAGGGACTGCCTGTATTGAATTTTGTTAAAACAGAGCTTGTCCAGTATGGTAGCACCCCCGTGTGGCCATTGGATGCTTTCAAATTCTATCTTGTCATGTCTTAATTCCAGGGTAGCTTCCTATCTGAGCCTTTCAGCCCTGGGCAATGGGAAGGACAGGGCTAAGTATCCCCATTTTACAGATGTGAAGCCTGATAGGAAAGCAATTGGTCCAAAACCATCAGTGAGTCTAAACACGGCTTGCACCATGATAGACACACCATGCTTAGACATACAATATCTCAATCTTCACAAGAACCCAGGGTGGTCAGACATATGGATGAAGACCCTAAAGCTCAGAGAGGGAGAGCAACTTTCCCAAGGTCCCACAGCTGGTGAGTGGCAGAGTTGGGGCTGGCACACCGGACCAGCTTTGGCTCACCAGGTTAATGTCCCTGCAGCTGGTCAAGACTGCTGAGCTGGATCCCACCCGGAACTACATTGCTGGCTTCCACCCCCATGGGGTCCTGGCTGCTGGAGCCTTTATCAATCTTTGCACTGAGAGTACGGGCTTCCCTTCCATCTTCCCTGGTATCCGCCCTCATCTGATGATGCTGGACTTGTGGTTCCGGGCCCCCTTCTTCAGGGATTACATCATGGCAGGGGGTGAGTCTTCCTACTCCGAGTAGCTCAGAAGATGAGACTGGAAGCCTGGGGGGTGATTAGGGAGGGCTGCCAACAGTTCTTCCAAGAGCATGTGCAGTGGGAAGAGGCTAGACCTGAGGAAGCACTTCCCACAGCACTGTGCAGAGCAATGAGCCGGGGACGGTTGGGGAGAGGAAGAACTCAATTCCCAGTCCTGGGTGAACTCCCAGCCTGGAGAGGAGGTGGAGAGACTCCAGGCTTCTGTGGGCACTGCTGGCCTTCTCTCTCCTGGGCCTATCCACCCTCACAGTCCTTGCCCCCTCACCCCATACCTGACCCACCTTCGTCTCTCCCCAGGGCTGGTTGCATCACATAAGGAAAGTGTTATTCACTTGCTGAGCAGGAAAGAAGGCGGCAACCTGCTGGCCATCATTGTAGGGGGAGCTAAGGAGGCGTTGGATGCCCGACCAGGAGCCTACAGGCTGTTGCTGCAGAACCGAAAGGGCTTCGTCAAACTCGCTCTGATGCAGGGGTATCAAGCCTTTGAGATGAGCACTCTGGGTTCTATTGACAATTGGCAAGGGTTATATTTTCATGGGAAGACAGTCAGAGATGAATGCAGATTAGATTTTTAGTCTATTTACAATGAAAATTATGTTTTGGTGAGAGATATATTGTCTTATACCCAAATACCCAGAACTATTCCCACAAGGGAAGACTCAGTGATCAAAGGGACTGACTGGATAGGAAGGGACATATTCCGTAACACTAGACCTGAACCTCTGAGATCTGGGACAGTGGGTTTGGGGTGCATCCCAAAGCACTTCTCCCACCTTGGGGTGAAGCACCTTTGAGGAATTGGAGCCAGTATTGTGGAAGAGATTTTTCTAAAAAGCTTGAAGATGCTTCATATTTGTAAAGACTCTCTGAGGCATTCTAGTCTAGCTGGCATGGAACAGCTGGGAGGTTGTTGCCCTGGGAGGGGCAAAGACCTGCCCTAGGTCAGCATGTGAGTCCATAGCAGGTTTGGGAGAGAATACAGGTCTCCTCCCTCCAGGCCAGGGTTTTGTCCTCTTTTCCAATTCCTGGATGCTGGGTCCCTACAGGAATCTAGGAGACCTCTCAGCTTGTGTCTTCTCTGGGGCCTCTCTCATCCCCTGACCCCTTGTCTCTCTTCAGGGCAGCTCTGGTGCCTATCTTCTCCTTTGGGGAGAATGAACTATTTGACCAGATCCACAACCCTCTTGGCTCCTGGTTGCGCTGGGTCCAGAACCACCTGCAGAAGGTCATGGGCATCTCCCTCCCACTATTCCATGGCCGTGGTGTCTTCCAGTACAGCTTTGGCCTCCTACCCTACCGCCGGCCCATCACCACTGTGGGTGAGTCAAGACTCAGACTGGGAGGGGTAGGCTGTAGGAAAAGGGGCCTGGGCTGGGTGCTGCAAGGGGACATGGAGATGTGCCAGGCCCATGCTTGCCTTCATGGAGCTCACATGCTACACTGGGAGAGAGAAATTCAGACAGATAACACTAATATAACACAGCCTGAGATGAGATCTATAACAAACACAAAGGGAAATACTCACTATTGATTATGGAGCACCTGCTAAGTGCCGGGAACTGCACTGGCTGCCTTACATGCAGCACCTGGGTTTTTCCTAACAGCTTGCGAGGCTGGGAATATGATCCCCATTTCATTGATGCCAAACTGAAGCTCAGAGAAGTTTAAGTGACTTCCAGAAGATCACACTGCCTTTGTGTAACTAAGTTGAGATTTGAATCAGGCTCCATCTGATTTCTTGCCATGCCAGAAGAGGGTTTAATTCTGACCCAGATGGTGGAATAAGGCTTATTGGAGGAATATATCAAAGGAAGGGCATTCCAAGTCTGTTAAAATTTATGTTACTGTTAACATTGCTACTATGAAGATAGTGATCAGTATGTTAGGGATTTTCCTGTGAGTAATGGGCATGAGCATTAGTGTATAGATTTAATGCCCCCCTTTTTTTTAAAGCTGTTCGGACACTACTTTTATTTTCTTCTTGGATTCTTTCTATCTTACTGGCTTCCTCTGCGAAATCTGTAGAGATTGAGGGGGTGGGGTGGGGTCCATTCATCTCCATCTATCCAATAATTGGTTAGTTGAACACAGACTTACTAAACCCCAGTGCCATGTCCTGCCCTGTGTTATGTGGCAATAGTTTCATGAATTATAATCCTGCAGCTGCCTCCTCAGCTGTTCCCAAGAGGAGAAGTCAGGGGAGCTGCCTTCCCAGCCAAGCGGAGCCAGAGGAAAGAGGTTAGTTAGGGCCTTTCTGAGGTCTCCTGAAGATGAGAAGGCACTGAAGGTTAGTGTGGAGTGAGGAGGAAGAGGAGAAAAAGCTGCCTGGACTGTGGGCCTGCCTCATCGCAGAAATACCAAACCAAAACCAAAGTCACTGCCGTCGAGTCAGATCCGACTCATAGTGACTCCTCCTTGGGTTTCCGAGGCGGTATCACCACGGAAGTAGATTGCCCAATCTCATAGAAATACAGACACTTACAATTGCAGCATCCTAGACTTCCAGAACCATATGGCCTTAGAGGTTAAGAGCACATTCCCAGGGTTGGAAACCAGGTACTGGCTCTTTCAAAAGAGCAGTGGTGCCATCGTGATTAAAGCATTTGGCTGCTAACCAAAAGGTCAGCAATTCAAACCCACCAGCCACACCAGGGGAGAAAGATGATGCAGTTTGCTTCAGTAAAGATTTATTGGGGATCAAAATTTGAGTTCCTGGATAGAGTGGGAGAAAAATGTGGAATAAAACTCAAACTCATAAAAAAGACCAGGCCTACTAGTCTGATAGAGACTGGTGAAACTCCTGAGACTGGAATTGAACTCACTCCTATGGCTTGACTTCCAGCCAAACAATGGACAGGTCTGCGAGGTGAACAATTACACCAGTTAGGTAGACTCCTTAGAACAATCAACGATGAGAGGTCAGAAGGGCAGCATTTGTGCAGCTTTATAGCTCAGAGAGCAGGAATACATAGGAAAAAAAGGACACAGGGAAAAAGTGAGCACAGGGAAGAAGTGGTAAGACAGCTGTTACATTATGGGGATTACAGTCAATGTCATGAAACAAAATGTGCATGACCTGTTGAATGGAAAATGAATTTGCTCTGTAAACATTCACCCAAACCAAAATTAAAAAAAAAAAAAGAATTTACAGCCTTGGAAACGCTATGGGGCTGTTCTACTCGGTCCTAAAGAGTTGCTGTGCATCAGAAACAACTTGATGGCAGTGAGTATGTATATGCAAATACTGGCTCTCCCTGGCTGGGTAAGCTTGTGCAAGTTGCTTAACTTCTCTGAGCCTCGTTGTCTTATCTATCAATACAGCTTCTGTCCCATAGGATTGCTATGAGGATAAAAGGCGATAATGCAAATAAAGTACCTAACACATCGCGTGGCACATTGCAATGCTGGCTGTTGTTCTATCAGTATGTTGTTGTTGTTATGTGCCATCGAGTCAGCCCCTACTCATAGCGACCCCTCCTTGGGTTTCCGAGGCAGTATCACTACGGAAGTAGGATTGCCCAACCTTCCTTCCGAGGAGTGGCTATCAGTATAGATCCCCCAATACACGGACAAATGGTTGAAATGGCAAATGTTCTGTTATATATATTTAAGCACAATAAAATGTAATTTTTTTATTTAAAAAAAATGTACAGTTAACATTTGAGCATTTCAACAAAGTTAAATTTTTCCTTTAAAAATGTATAAAAGTAAATGAAACTAAAAAAAAAAAAAAAAATCAATAGCCTGAAATTAGGCTTGAAAGGGATCATAGTGAAAGCACTTTCCTGCAGGGCTGATAGCAGGGGTGGGCACCTGCCCCAAGGGTCCCTGCATCCTGCATTAATTCTACTCTGGGCCACTGCCCACCTTTGTGCCTTACAGTCGGGAAGCCCATCGAGGTGCAGAAGACACCACAACCCTCGCAGGAGGAGGTGAACCACCTGCACCAGCGTTACATAAAGGAGCTGTGCGACCTCTTTGAGGCTCACAAGCTGAAGTTCAACATCCCCATGGACCAGCATTTGGAGTTCTGTTGAGCACCAAAGGGCAGGCCACAGCCATGGAGGGCAGTAGGGGGCTCAGCTGGAGGTGCTATGTTCTGAGAAGGTTTCCTGGAAGTGTTGGTGGAACATATCTCCAAAGCCTTCCCAGCCCCTGCAAATTCAACTGATGCCAGGACCTAAATTAGAGCCAGCAACAGGGGAGAGGAGATGACTCTAGCATCCATGATTTGCACTCCTGCTATGAAACCTCTGCAAGTCTCTCCTGCTTCTTGGCCTGCATCTGCTCATCTGTGAAATGGGAAAGAGGACGGAAAGAGAATGATTTCTGAGGTGCTTGGTTGTGATGTCACTCAATGGGCAGGGAAAAGAGAGCAGTGACCGGTCACTGAGTTTTTCTTTCTCTAACTTTGAGTGAAAAGACCCTGGATGGTGCAAACAGTTAAGCATTTGACTACTAACCAAAAGATTGGCAATTAGAAACCACCGAGAAGTGCCTCAGAAGACAGCCTGGCAATCTGCTTCTGAAAGGTCACAGCCTTGAAAACCCTATGGAGCACAAGTCAGTTCTATTCTGCCCACATGGGTTTGCCATGAGTCAGAATCAACCTGACGGCAACTAATAGCAACAACACTTGAGTGACAGCACAGAAGTCACCTACTCTAGCTCCCTCCCCTACAGGTCCCCTCATCCTGCAACCTGTCCCCAGACTGGGTAGGAAGGGGTGGCCATTAAGCCCTGCACTCACCTTAGGCACTTTGGCGTTTCTGACTCCTCTGAGCTATGGAATAAGAGCCAGAGGGGCCTGGAATGGGGCTAAGGAGACCTGAGCACTCTCTATGAGCTTCAGTTTCCCCAGTGGCTAAGATGACCTCTGATTCTCAGCTCTGACATTGTATAGGCCCAGGGTACTCTTTTATTTGTCCTTTGCAATTTCAGACTCTCACTTTGATACAAAAGGGCAGCTCAGTAAATGCCAGTTCAATAAATGAAGGAATTCTATTTTAGTTCTCCTTTCTTCACCCTACTCCCAAACCAAGGGGCCTAGCAACAATGGGCTCAAGGATAGCAAGGGTTGTGAAGCTGGTGCATGACTGGGCAGTGTTTTATTCTGTTGTACATAGGGTCACTATGAGTTGGAGCCAACTTAATGGCACCTAACAACAACAACGGGAGCTCTGGTAGCATAGTGCCAAGGCACTTGACTGCTAACCAGGAGGCTGGTGGTTCAAACCCACCAGCCGCTCCTCAGAAGGAAGGTTGGGCAATCCTACTTCTGTAGTGATAACTGCCCCAGAAACCCAAGGAGGGGTCGCTAGGAGTCGGGGCCGACTCGATGGCAAATAACAACAACAACAACACTCACCAAAGCAGGATGTCAAACAATGTTTTTGTGTACTATGTTATGCCAATTGAGCTGGATGTCCCCTGCAACTATTGTCCTGAGCCCACAGGTCCAACAACTTGCTTCCTCAGGTTGCTTGGCTTTGGCTATGAAATTATCATAACTTTCCCATTAATTCTAGTCATATGGAAATTCTTATAGCACATACAAATATGTTGTAGAAATATCATCTGCCAAACTTAAATACAGTCGTGGGTATATTCCTGTTTGCCTAGACTTACCTGCTCACTCACTTATGTATCTACCCATAGATGTTTGTTATTACTGATAATACAGTATTATATATGCAAAGTGTTTATCTTTGTTGTCGGTACCTCTTGTGCACCTCTCTGTGTCTTCCTTTTCCTTGTTGTTGTCATGTGCTGTTGAGTCAGACCCGACCCATAGTGACCCCTCCTTGGGTTTCTGAGGCAATATCACTACGGAAGTAGATTGCCCAACCTTCCTTCTGAGGAGTGGCTGGTGGGTTTGAACCGCCAGCCTTCTGGTTGGCAGTCAAGTGTCTTAGGCACTATGCTGCCAGAGCTCCTTTCCTTTTCCTTAGTGTTAGTGTTTGGTCGTTCACTTTTGGTATATTGCCTTTCCTTGGGCCATTGATCTTTATCTTCCTCTTTTTGTGAAGAGGTCAGGTGCTGCCACCATGTCACTGTTACACTGTTTCACCCTTTGTCTGGGTAATTCCTGTGCTCTTCAGTACAGGCTTCGTCTATCCAGGGAAGTCTTCCCTCATCTCTGGGGTTGAGATTGAGGTTTCCTCTGGGTTGTCCACACTGCCTGTTCCTCTGCCGTAGCACTCAGTACCCCGGGTGGTCCCTGTCTGAGCAGCAATATGCACTAAAGCCCCTGCCTACCTGCCCTCCTCCAACCTACCTCACATATACCACCTAAGTCATCTGGCTAAAATAAAACCCAACTCCCTAAAACAGTCTGCTCTGCTTCAAGATAAGGCCTAAACTCCTCCAGATCCTGGTGTTCGAGGCCCTTTATCATCTCTCCCATAGACTTCAGCCTCACTTCCTAAACCTTTCCCTGCTCCCTATCACCCTTCACTCACTGTTCTCTGAAAACAGGCTACTCTGGCACTTGCTGTGTCTTGGGGCAAGCAGTTCCCTTTTCCCAGAACACTCTTTCTTGACCTGGTGAGCATCACTTGTGCCCAAAGATCACCTCTTTTGTCAAACCACAGCACACCTCATCTACCTCAAACTCTGCCCTCTCACCCCTTTTTCTAGATCAAAATTGGTTACCCCCCTTTTGGGCTATCTTTGAGGGTGAAAGAGCCACGATCATTAATTAGTGAGAAGACTCCTGCTTCCCAGAGGAGTATGACCATCCGAAGGCCAATGCTATACCTTTGTTGCCCTCAGCCCCTTCCCTAGCACCCAGCACAGGATCTGATGCACCTCAACATCCCCAGTGAATGTGAATTGGTTGCATAAATGAATTTTCTTTCTTTCTTT